TTCTGAATAAATAACAAGAGGAAACATGAAATAATAAGTTATTCATACTGTCAAATCGAACATCCGGATCAGCGTTATCTCGAGCTTCCTCTTCCTCCTTCAGCAATCTCGACGCATAGCTCTCATCACCGATCGGCTGCATTTGCACGCTTGGCACATGGGGCAAATGTCGCAGGTTCTCAATCACCCCTTCCCTTAAACGTACACATTTAATTTCAAGTTTACAGATTGTTTTTGTTTGAAATTGGGCGAACCGAAAGGGCAAGGATTTCACGTTGTTGGCTACGAAGAATGCAGTGCCACGTATGCCGATGGCCACCATTATCTCTGAATCTTGAAGTAAGAGAGATTCACATGACACTTAAGACCAATCCTTCTATTCTACTACTCCATATTTTCAAATTTTTATTACGATCTCTCTCTTTTATTCTACAAAGACATGCAGTTGCAGTGCTGAGTTAAGACGTGTGTAGGTTGATGGACCGAAACGTTTCAATCTCAGCTAAAATTATGTAAGTTTTTCATATATACTGTAGCTCTCAGTCTTTAATATTTCCCGTATATTTCTTCCCTGTTAGCTAATAGCTACTCTTCGAATAAAGTTTATAATTCTGTTTAAGTCCAAAAACTAGCACCCACCCAAATCCTTCTAGATACCAGTAAAAGTTCACGATATCGCTGCCACGGTGCAACAAATATATATAAATTAATGGACCGAAAAACTTCTTACTGTTAAAATAATCTCACAAACTTTCTAATTTTCATTCCTTATCCTCGTCTTCCTTTTTTCTTCTCGTTTTTCCCATTCTTACCTATTATAACTTTCTATTATAACTCATGACTACCTGTCAACAAATAATTTACAAGTAATCACATAGTTAGCTTAACTCTCACTATCACCAAAAGTACATCTGATGTATTGCGACACAATTTTATCAAAATTTTCCGACGAACAGGATTCCCCCGATCTGAAGTACGCTAAGCCATGTAAAAGGATCACAATGCAGTTTTTCAAGTACGTACTTAGCAATAAGTCGCCCCTTCAGAGCAATTTTACAAAAGTTGTGGCCAATACTGCGCAAAAACATCAATATAATTAATCACGGTTACTCCCCTTTGGTATGCACACTAGCTTATTCAACAAGAAAAAGGCAACAGTGTATACAGTCAGCACAAATAAACAAGAGCGGAAAGAGATCAAATGTGTAGGAACAAGCACGCAATTAGAGAAGGATGCTGTTGGAATCTGACATGCCAAAAAATAGCCTGATTTTCAAATCAACAAAAGGAAGAAGCTCCAACAGAATATTTTCTTACACAATCGAAGTTAAAAGTTAAAACCTTCGCCAAATTCCACTTTCTTCCAGACAGTGAGAAACTCTAAAGTAGGCCAAGATGTCGCACACTACTCGCAGCAACCACTCGTTGGCAAAGTTTCTGTCAACCTTCACGACCAAGGCCAGCACTGACAAAAAATAGTTGTTGGCGAACTGCCAACTACCCATTCTGACCCCCTCCCCTGCCTCCACTTCCTCCGCCCCCTTCCCCAACCCTAATTAAGTCAAACAAAAACGACGCTTACTGTATCTTCTTCAAAAATTCCGGAGTATTTTCATTTGTGGCATTTGACGGATCGATGTGAAGCCGATAATGAGGTCCAAAATACTCGAAATAATCGTTATATGGAAGATCTGAAAAATGCCTCCGTTTTTTCCCGACAAAAAAATTCGACCGCTTC